GGTATGAATTTATCGGGAAAGAAATGTATTGTGGATACAGGTCAATGCAAAGATGCGAGAAAGGGGATGGGCAAAATGGCAGCTGTTTTCCTGAAAAAGGTCAAGCGTCGCTAGCTTATCTTTACTGAATAGGAGCCTGAAACAGGCTATTACTGTTATTTCACTAATTAAAAATCAAGAAAAAATTAATTATTTGTTATAAATTTCAGAGTACGTTCCATTACGATTCCCAATTTTGGAGGAACAGAAGTTCTTACACCCTTCCAGGAGGCAAAACTGGCTTTGACTTTCAAGTGACAAAGTTGCCAACCTACTGGGACACATCCTTCTCCAAAATCTGTCTCGGTAAGAAGATCGGCAATCAGCTCAGATTCATTGTCATCAACAAACATGCCGAGTCTCTACACTCACTCATCGCTGATGGAAAAAAACGCACCACCTCACTTGGTCGTAGAAAGTGGAAGACACTGATTGGCTCACAGGCCTCCTTGCAGCCCCACTGCAACGTGGGAGGATTCAACGCGGTTGGAGAGGAACTTCATCAATCCAAATCAAGAATCGGCATCACTGCTAACCTGCAGAATGAATGCTCTTCTTGTGACTCCAGGATTGGTTTACGCGCAGGAGGTCTGCATGATGGCTCCAATACTTGTGGAAACGAGGCAACGCGCGAGCCTGATAATGGAGACAAGCCCATCAAAGCCATGGGGTACATCCTGGTGCAGTGACGAGGGACACTGCTAAATTCCAAACTCTTAAGTTAAAAACATCATGAATAAGGACAATGTAGTGCTGAAGCTTACCAGCTGATTAAATTATGGATTCAGAAAAATTTCCATAATCAAATAGTTAATCTTCAGTTGAGTAAGAGTAAATTTGCTGTATTGGTAATTTTCCAAGAAACAAAGAAATTGAATAATAATAAAATGATAATGCAACAGTAAACATCAGAGAATATGAAATTTCAAAGCACCGGGACAGGAATTACATTTTTAAGGAAAATTCTCTTCGAAAAGAGGTTTATGAAGGTTTCGCTTCATTGCAGGTTCCCTCCATACCTCCTTTGCCAGATTGGTCCCTTAGTTCAATATGCAGTTGACAGCGAAACCAGAACCAAGGTCGATCAACATGCAAATGTTAAGGCGTGTTTATCAACCACGAGTAATGCCATGCCAGAATTATACTCTTATCTGACATCTTCACCTCATCAATTCAAACAAACAAAGTGTTCTACTGTTTTTTGGCTTAAGGAGGCTCGAAAGAGTTTTCCACAATTAATAGCAAGTGCCAATCAGTAAAAGATATCAGGACTGTCAAACTTATTATCAGGATAATGACTTGACATATGCATAACACTATGTTAGGGCAATCTTTTAAGGGGGTTCGTCAGGCATTATCTGTTGCCATGGCAACAGTACAGTAGTGCTAAAAGACCTTCTAAAACTCAGTTTTTGAAAGATATCTCAAAAACCAAGTCGGTGACCTAATTTT